TGAGGAATCGATAGAGAGTACGTATTCGCTCGTGATTAGCCGCCTACCCACCGCAGCGAAGCTCATAGTAGATGTAGTATAAGTTGTATCCATGATTACAACTCGCATCGAAATTGACGTAGTCACTCGATAGGAGAGGTCGACAACGTCGCGGCGAACGAATTGAATAAGGTTATTTGGATTGCTGTTACAACTGTGACAAATTTGGGCATAAGCTCAAGCAATGTCTTAAGAAGCGATGGCCGTTGGAACATTTGTGTTCTAGTTTCTACAAATGTAGCTTTCGTGAGCAAGTGGCTGCTTGATAATGGAACGAGTTCTCAGATGTTCTACAATCGTAACCACTTCTCATCCAATCATGCACGTTTTGACCGTTATTGGAAGCGCTTGCATGAATTTGGCGTCGGATCCTACAGCCTGACACTCAAATATGACTGCACTGCACCCTTGAAAACAATCTCTATATTCCCGGTGTCTGCCACCAGCTGATTTCTGTATCATCACTCACAGCGCGCGGCGAAGAAGCTCATTTGGCGAAGGCAAGTGCACCATTCTTCACAATGGATATGTGGATTGCCGTTGGTTAACGAACGGAAAAGCTCGAAGCACTGAATTTTGCGGTACCAACTATTCACTGTACCTAAGTTCAGCTTTATTTTAGTATATGTGATTCGCCATACCGGAGCAAGATGACAAAAGTCAGCCACGGGAGGGTAGTCTTCCACCGGCTCTGCACGATGAGAAAGGGGTAGCCCACTTATATGTCGAATTGTATACCATCAGGCTCACCATGACTTAGCAGGATCCAGGAGGCGAGAGGTATATCTCCCCTCCGAAAACTTACAGGAGCACAAACTTTCTCGTCGGCAAGATTGCCTTGGCACTGTAATCGCTTAAAGATATAACTATCCTCTGACATCTGTAAATGAATCAGGATTTTGGCAGGCGTAGCTCTGCCCACAGCACAAAATCGGATTTTTGCGCTGCACAATATTTTCGCGGCTTCCGTCAGAATCGCCGTTTGAAGATCTGTGTGAGGTTTGCGTGTGCGATATGATAGCTGTCGCCAAGGTCGCCAAGACATCCAACAGCGTGGTCATGACTGCGGCACTTTTGGAGGTGACCTATAAGAACATGAAGGATTTCAAAAAGTCTTAAGATTAAAAGTGGTGATGGTTACGTATTAGTGTTTGCTGTCAATCGGTCTCGATACATCGAGGCGTACCTAATCATATTTGGAAGAGATGTGATCATGCATTGCAAAAAGTATAATTAATCCTGGAAGCTCATGTACGTGGCCGTATCCGCTGCATCAGAACGTGGTGTTTTGCGGCAAGAAACGGACGATTTCTGCATACAAAACGATATTATTTAACACTATACCAGCTCGCAATCGCTGCAACAAAATAGATGCACTGAACGAATGCTCTATCGCTGAGATGGAAGCATGATGTTGCATCATTGGCATTTGATAAGTCATGGTTGGGTGAGGCAATGATGACTGCTGTAGACACCATCAAAGGGCCCCAAACGCCGGCCAGGATATAACACAATTCAAATTACTGTGAAAAATTAAGGTGTCGCTCAGTGGTATGCGCGCTGGTATGTGTTTGCTGACACAACCAACTGAACAACTTTCAACGCCAAAGTGCATTGCTCTGTCTTCTTGTGTTACACCGACAGCTCGAAGGTCTATTGCTTTTCTGATTGCGATTCCCTGTCTGCAGTAGTTTCAAAAAGCATTGCCTTAGATGAGCGACTACTATCTCAATATGGCCCTGCATACATCACCCAGGCTTCATCACGACAACGAAGTGGTGCCTGCTTGTGTAACCAGGAGTATGAAAGTAGACAATAGTAGTAGAGTTTGTAGTAGTACACGCCACTACAAACTCAAGATGGGCCGATGAAAATCGGTAACTCCACCGTCATCATATTTTCTTGCTCACTAACATTGTTTCACGTTAGTCACATCCTGACCACCGCTCCACCTTCATTCCTGTAGCGGAGCTGCTGTAGCTCTTCTGCTTAGAGGAAGCTTGGTCAAGGTCGATGACCTTCGTTCTATACTTAAAACCAGGACGACTGTAGCGGATTGCAATCCACTTACTTCAAAAGTCATTACAACCTTAACCGAAAGCTAATTGACACTTCCGTTCAAACTTAAACTGTATTTCTCGGTTTTATTTGCGGCAAAGTCGCCTAAATCTAAATCTACAGGATTTTCCTGATTACCTAGTAAAACCTAATAATTGTATAACTACTGACTGTACAGCCACGAGCTGACTTCTTGTTTAAGTATGAGCTACAATATTGTGTGATCACACCATCTTGTGTGGCCCAGACCCATTATACCAGGGCACGTGAAATCCCGTTACACTCGCTCCTATCAAGATTGTGAACACCTATATATCACATACAACTGTCGTCTCGAACGAGGCTCGCATGTCGAAGACACCACAACATCATCAGAACCTTCTTCACGAATTCTTAGTTTAATGAGCCCTGTGTTGAGGACACGGAAGATACCTAGCCTCGCAGGTTCCGAGAGCACCCGCGGGCAGAGAACTTCTTTATCACCTGCACGCGGTGCAACTTTGGACAGCACGCCAGCGGCTTCAAGGGAAGCACAGCCCAAGCTCTCGTTACCGAGCACCGCGCCGCGCATTGCCAGCAACAGGGCCGCACGATTAAGAACATAAATGCGATGTCTACTCCC